TACCAATACTACTACCCAAACCAATACTAGTGCAACTACCAATAATGATCAAAACCAACACTAGCATTACTACTAATAGTCATCATAAGACTAATCAACAAACAATACTACCCTTCCTCCCGCTAACATAGCAATTGTGGGAGGGCACCTGGAAGATCAGCTTCCTCTTGTCAGTGGCAGGGAGGGTAATAGTACGAATACTACTACTAAAACCAATACTAATGCTGCTCCTAATAATGGTCATAGCCCAGAATGTTCAATTTTTTGTCAAAGGACACCAACGGGGGATGAGAAGTTCTCCTCTGGCGAGCGGAAAAGCGCAGGATCCGGGGAAGATTGTCTCAGAAGGAGCATTAATCAGCCCTTTCCGAAAGGTGCTAAGACATGCTCGGCAAGCATATTGAAGCAATTGGGACGTCTGCAAAAGGCTGCAGTATAACGCGAGCCAGACACTCACTGTGAACGATGGGCCTGGACAGCAACATAGGTGCAACGGTCCACTTGCCGGAAAGCAGCGAGGGTGACCCAGTTGGCTCGAAAGGAGCGCAAGGGGTACACGTCACAAGGGTCATCACAGGTCATAAGGGTTCCATCACAAGGTGTACCCCGAGCCAACTCCTTTAAAACCCTCGCTGCTTTCCGGCAAGCGTGAGGCTGCACAGTGGCGTCTTCCATTCGCCGGAACGGTTGCCATCGATGTGTGTATTTTCCTGATAGCCTGAATAATGTATTCTAACGAACCTGCCAATGGGTCTGTCTTCTTTTTGTGGGTTCCCCTTTTTGGTGACTTTAAGGGGAAACTGCGTGCTTACTTTGACCCCATCCGAGCAAATGCCGTGTCAAATCAGTAGATCGGTGGACAGAAACCCAGTGTTTGCCGTTCTTTCCAAATTTATTTCTGCCTGCTTGGGGGTTCCTATAAACTATTTAAACCGTTTTTAGGGTATTGCCAGATGGGCGTGTCGTTTTTTAAGGGTAGCCCGTTTCTGGTGGTTTAGCTAGTGTACGCCTCGAAAGGAAAACCGAAGCCATTTTGGGGGTCTAACCTCAAAAAAGACACCCATGGAACAGAGTCACGTGTATTTTCCTGTGCACCCCAGGTCGAAATCCATTTCGGGAGGCCGCTAACTTGATTGCTATTCGGAGGGATCTTTAGACGTTAACTTTTTGCAGATGGGGTCAACGGCAACCAAGAGGAATTGCAGTCTTTACGTTTCAGTGTGCGCATCTGGTGGATGGAACCGTATGACACCGAATGCCATGTCCTTTGTGGATTTAAGATGGTGTGTTCTACTACGAGGCAATTATGAGGTTCAACCCGTCCAGTCTGAATTTCCTACTTTGGTTCTGGTTTCCTTCTTAAGCAACCTTTCCGAAAGTGCATCGTTTTATTTTTTTGTTGGGTGATGACACACTGGTCATCATCCGCAACTGTGCTCACATTGAAAGTTTGCCTTGGCAACACCTCAAACATGTATGGACTAGCGAGAGCACTCGTGTTTATTTGCTCTTGGCCCTCAGTCTTGCAGGTTTGGACATCAAGCACGGCCTCGCCTGCCAATTTCAGATGGCATGCGTTCGTCTGGCAAGTGGCCAGGATGTGATGACAGAGGCAGACTTTGCCGAGTGGTGGCGCGAGAACTTCGACCTCCGCGACCAACAAGCGTGTTTTCTGCACTTGCTGAGGCATCATGTCGCTAGGCTCCTGCAGCTGCGCAACTTCCGGAGGCTCGCCGTCATTTGTGGTGAGCAAGTGCTGCCGCCAAACAGCCCTTGGAATCAGGCCGAGTCTTTGGTCGTTGTTGTAAGGCAATACCCAAGTGAGGAAGAATGTGAGGAAGAAGCTTGGCTTCTATTGGGTTGGATCTTTAAGCCTTTAGCTTTTGCTTTTATGTTTGTGTTCCCACGAACCAATCAACAGTTGTTCCCTTTCTGTGGGGCAATCACCATCGAGGCAGGCCACGCCCCCATCTTGGACTTTTTGGAAGCAGCTGGCAACGGTGATGCCCCCCGAGTTGCAGAACTTTTGGAAAGACCGCTAGATCCAAACAGCAATGTTGGCAATAGGGCAGCTTTGCACAGGGCTGCTGAGGGAGGCCACTTGGAAGTTGCACACTGCTTGCTGGGCTCTGAGGTTGACATAGACCAGACTGACCGACGTGCGCGCACGCCGTTGTATGTTGCTTCGCAAGGCGGGCGCGAGGATCTGGCGCAATGTTTGCTTGTGGCTGCAGCTGATCCCGAGAAGGCCGAGCGGGATGGGCGGACGCCCTTGCACGCAGCGGCTTTCTTTGGCCACCTGGGAGTTGTGCATTGCCTGCTGGAGGCCGGCGCTGTCAAGAACGCGCAGAAGAATGGAGGGGGGACTCCCTTGTACTTTGCAGCTGTCAACGGGCATATCGACATCGTACGCTGCTTGCTAGAAGCCTGTGTGGACAAGGACCTGGCTGATAACTATGGGCGTACGCCCTTGCACATGTCCGCCCGGCATGGCCATGGAGAAGTTGTCAGATGCTTGCTGGAAGCCGGTGACGATCAGGAACAAATCTGCAGTGGCGGACGTTCGCTTCTGCATATTGCAGCCAAGCATGGATCCGTTGAAGTTGTGCGCTACTTGCTGCAGACAGGAGCCGAAACGGCACAGACCGACGGTTCTGGGCGCACGCCACTGCACTGTGCTGCACAAGGTGGCAATTCGGGGGTTGTGCATTGCCTGCTGCAGGCCGGTGCTGACCTAGGCAAGTGCGACAGTCACAGGCATACACCTATATACGTCGCGTGTGCTAATGGACATCCTCATGTTGTACGCATCTTGCTGGATGCTGGCGCTGACAAGGACAAGGGTCACAGCAGGCAGACGCGTTCGCCTCTGCATGTTTGTGCCCGGCGCGGCCATGTGGAAGTTACGCGCTGCTTGCTTGATGCCGGCGCTGACAAGGACAAGACCGATCGTGGTGGGCGTACACCTTTGTATCTAGCTGCCAGCCAAGGCCACACGCAAGTTGTGCGTTTGTTGCTTGCTGCTGGTGCTCACAAGGACAACGCATACATTGGGCAGACTCCTTTGTACGTTGCTGCTTTCCATGATCACCTAGAGACTTTACAAAGCTTGCTGGAGGCTGGAGCCGACAAAGACAAGATTGATAGAAGGCAGGGATATGCACCTCTGCATGTTTCCGCCCAACGTGGCCACCGTGAAGTGATGCGCTGTTTGCTAGATGCGCGTGCTGACAAGGACAAGGCGGATTATGATGGGCATACGCCTTTGCATCTTGCTGCCATCCAAGGCAGCGTGGACGTTGTGCGTTGCTTGCTGGAAGCCGGTTGCGACAAGGAGAAGGCAGACTGGCATGGGCGTAAACCCTATGATGCTGCTGCCGACTCAGGCCATCTTGAAGTTCAACGTTGCTTGGAACACGTCACAGAGGGCCAAGGCAAGCGCAGTTCTTCCCAAGATGCCCTCTATCCAAGCAAGCGTAGGCGCAATTAGGCGGTAGAAGCCGCCAGCAATTCGTGCTTGGCCATCCACCCAACATGAAGACAGATTGTCTAAAGACAGCGGTGTGGGTGTGTCCAGAGACGACCCAGGATAAGTCAAGGATAAGCCTTGAATAAGGCCTTCACGGGTTAATAAGGGAGTTGCCCCGCCCTCCCCATAGCTCTTCTTGGGGGTCCGCGGAATGATGATACCTTCTTTGGGGCTTTGTAAAACAAAATCAGCGGCATCTCGGTGGAAGTTATTCTGATCTGAATTCATGCACCCCACGGCAAGGGGGTACCTGATCCTTAGCAGTTTACGGCTGGTCATGCTACACTTACAAAGATCCGTAGGCTAACCTCAATTCTGACCGTGCCCATCCCTCAATGTCTGCAGTACTTTTGTTGATTTCTGCAGGAACCAGCAGATACCCAAAACTAGCAAAACCAAATTTGAACAGTTTCAGTCAGCAAAACAACACAGTGAAAGCAAACAAGCTTCGCCGACCAAGCTGTGTTTGATTTCTTTTTTAAAATCCTGTGTGCGCAACAAGTAGGCATGGCTGCATGTCTGGATAACGATAACCATCAGTTACACTGCCATTCGGTTCGGATTTTCTTTCAGCCTGGGCCTGCCGTTAGCTTCCGCGCTCAATGGCTTGCTCTGGCGACTCATCAGAAAACCATCGGCAGGGGTTGCCATGTGTGAGAGAATTTAGTAACTCGGTGGCTCGCAGCCCAGGTCCTGAGCCTTTGAGCTTGGGGATGAGTGGTAGTTTCCGTATTTAACCCGCCAGAAGTTAAAAGCTCTTAGCGGGGGATCTGAGAGCCCAGGTAAAGCAATCGAACATCCCATGAAACAAAGGCCGCCCATTTGTCAAGTGCCTGCGAGAGTTGTTTCAAGGATCGTCAATGATACCAGCGGGCCATGTTGAAATATTTGATAGGTGATGTCCAGGATCTAGTGAAATCCTTGCGATGTTGCCATGCATCTTTTGGGGAACACCGTGTCAGGAGTGGCAAGACACCATCTTTTGGGGACCCCTGTTCCAGTGCTGCGTGACAGCTTCCTTCTGTTGGGGGCCCCTGTACCAGGAGTGGCAGTTTTCACATGAACTTTAGTGACAAATTGCTGTGAATCTTCACATCGCAGACGGCACCCATTCGGCCACAAATTTAAATTGGGAACCCTGCCGAAAATGGTTTTGGGCCCAATGTCATTTAAATGATCTCCATGAGAGGGTCTGTCTATTTTGCTTCTCAAAATCAAGGTCAGTTGGCACGGCCCAAGAAACATTCGCGCAGGTGTCCTTAGATGAGTTTGCCAAGAAATAGATGGTTTCCACTGGTTTAGATTGGTTTCACTCCATGCCCAGCCCTCCCCTGAACACTTCTTAGCTATCTAGTGGTTTTTGCTTGAATTGCCATGTCCTCCAAGTGAAGAGCTTTTCGCGGACGTGGCATTTGGCCAGTTCCCGGTTCCCAGGCCCTGAGTCGCTCGCTCGCCCGACGCTCGCTCGCAGGAGTGGCGGAGCTGCCTGGCGCTGCTCGGCTCGCTGGCCGAAAGCGACGCCGCGGATGCCGCGGCCTTCACCTGCGCCATGTTGGCCTGTGCCAAGGCATCCACCCAGGCGAAGAGGGGCGGAAGGGATGGCTTGGCGAAGCGAAAAGGGGCGAAAAGGGGGCAGGGGATGGGTTCGCCTCTGGTTTTGGTGTGAGGCGAGCGTCTGTTGTAAACCAACCGGAGAAAAGCATGCGGGCACCGGAATGGATGGCGGAAGCGCGGATGCGCGGACGCGGAATGGATGGAGCAGGGGATGGGTGGCTCAGATGTTTTTTGGAGGCCAGCCGCTAGCCTCTGTTTTTGGTGGTGTTCCAAGGAATGCAACAAAAGAACACCACTTCTCTCTGCATTTTTGGCGGCGGGGCCGGGGGGGGGAGGGGTGTCCCTTAAAACAAGGCACTCATATTGTTTGCCGTGGGAGATGATGGAATGTACGGAATTGATCAGAAGCTGAATCATGAAATCTGTCCACTGCGGATTGCAGCTCAGCCACTAACATGAATGTGACAGAAGCTGGCGGCTTGCTCAAGCTGTGAAGATCCGAGCTTGTTGCAAGCACTTCACCCCAAACGCCCCTTTCAATCCAAATATAAGTTTGAATCCGTTCTAGTTTTTGTTGGATGGGGACCTCTGGGGACAGAACACAAGAATAGGACACTTGGAGGATTTGAGATGCCGTGGGTGGCAAGTTTCACCAGGAAGCCGCAGTGCAGAGGCTGTTTGTGCAAGGAATGTCAGGGTGTGTGTGTGTGTGTGTGAGGTGTGTGGGTTTGTGGGTTTGTGGGTCTGTGTGTCTGTGTGTCTGTGTGTGTGTGCGGTGCGGTGCGGTGCGGTGCGGTGCGCTGCGCTGTGGTGTGGTGCGGTGTGGTGTGGTGTGTTGTGGTGTGGTGTGGTGTAGTGTGTGGTGTGTGGTGTGTGGTGTGTGGTGTGGTGTGTGGGGTGTGGTGTGTGGTGTGGTGTGTGGTGTTGTGGTGTGGTGTGGTGTGGTGTGTGGTGTTGTGGTGTGGTGTGTGGTGTGTGGTGTGTGGTGTGTGGTGTGTGGTGTGTGGTTTGTGGTGTGTGGTGTGTGGTGTGTGGTGTGTGGTGTGTGGTGTGGTGTGTGGTGTGTGGTGTGGTGTGGTGTGGTGTGGTGTGGTGTGGTGTGGTGTGTGGTGTGGGGTGGTGTGTGGTGTGGTGTGGTGTGGTGTGGTGTGGTGTGGTGTGGTGCGGTGCGGTGCGGTGCGGTGTGGTGTGGTGTGGTGTGGTGTGGTGTGGTGTGGTGTGGTGTGTGTACTGCTGAGCCAATCCTATGAGTGAAATGGCTATTTGGCAACATTGTAGCCAACACAGCACAGAACAAGTTTTGCTGTGAATTGAAGCCAATGGCTTGGTTAATCGCAAGAGGTGCATCCAATGGCGGGGGGGAGACAGGCCCTTGATCTTTTGTTGGCGAGTCTATGAGTCCAAACCAGGGACTCCGCCCCATTTGGTGGGTGTCATGGTTTCCAATCGAAATGAAGGAATGGGTATGGGTCAAAATTAAGCCACCAGGGGACCGCAGGTTTTGGTCCATGTTTCAGTTTTCTCGGGTTCCATTTTGGGTACCTTTCTTTTTGACCCACAGCCGAATGGGTCTCCAGTTTTGAGACCACTGCCGATTCTGGTGGCCACCTTACGCGTGGGCACGTCACATGATCGTTCGAAGATGCACCCGGGCTTCACCGTTCAGTACTGCAAGAATGCACATAAGGCAACTTATATCGGGGTTCAACAGACTTCAACGCTGCTGCGATTGGCAGGGAATGAGAAACGGAATGACCACGACAAACCTTCCAACTGGTGGTTCCTTTAAGTGGACCAATTCCTGGGTTCATTCCAACTCATTCCCTACCTATCGTACCAGCAAACAATTTCAGGGTTTGGTTTGGGTTTCACTTTGAATCTTATACCGGCCAATGCACAGCCCATTCTTGTGAGTTCGTTTTTCGTTGGAAGATAGGTTGAGCACTGAGCCGCCGTGGGTTGGTTTTTTCCCCCCGCGAATTCCCCCAAAACAAATCTCTCCGCCAGGCCGCCCGAAGAGCGGCTGAGGGACTGCTGCAGGAGATGCGGACCTTGCGTCTGGAGGCTTCGAGTCGACGGGTTGGGAACTTCAGATGGCTGGTCAGTGGCACCAATTCACCAACTTCTTCCAACTGTTTGTGGCTGCCTGACTAAAAATGGCACCCTTTTTCTTTTCCCGTTATTTGTTGGCCCCACGAAAAATGGTCCAAGCCCGACAGAGAGGTCCCGTTTTTTTTCTCCCAGGGTCACTGAACAACTGAGAGATGGCTGCACGTCAAAACCGTTTTGGGATCCCATTTTGGTTGGTAGGTGCGCCACCAATTTTAGAACCTATTATAGTGGGCATTGAATCGAATGTTCACAGGGGGTACGATTTGGATTTTGACCCATGGCCAGATAGAACCCCAAATCACTTG